TAAATGATCAGACCAATCAAAACTGCTAGCTCACCAGGTAAAGAAGGATCTTTCTTCCAGGGCCCAAGAGCCAGTTATGCTATGAAAGCTACTATGTGTTACAGCCTCCCTTAGAGACTAGGTTACAATTCTCCAAGTCAACAATTCTCCAGTGTGTCCTATGGAGTTCTGGTGGTTCCTTAAAACTCTTTGGGGGAGTGGGTAAGGTCAAAATTTTTATAAAAATACACAAACACGAGGCTGGAAAGAGGCTCATCACTTGAGACCACCAGCTACTTTTATAGAAGACCTAGGTTTGATTCCCAGCACCTACATGGTAACTAACAACTATCTGTAACTCCTGTTCCAGGGGATCCAGTGCCTTCTTTGGATCTCTGAGGGTACTGCATGACATGGATGCACTTACATACATGCAAGCAATGTACTTGTATGCATAAAATAAAAATAATAAAATATTTTTTAAAAATACACAAACATTATTTGCCTTCTTCACTGTGTTGATCTATGCACTGATAATAAACACACACACACACACACACACACACACACAGAGATGGTAAATTGGTTCATACCAATTTACTAGTGTCAAGGCAGCAGTTCCAAGCTATCTTAGCTGTTGTAGAATCCTTCACTGCCATATAACTATAGTTAAAAGGGCAGAGTATTACATAATACTGACTTTCAGGCACAAGTAAAAATTGGCTAACTTTATTAAATCTTGATAACTCAGGAAAAGCTTTCAATACCCATGTTATCAGACAGAATACATACACACAAGAAATCACGGCTGACTTTCCTGAAGTGACCAAAACCCTCTGTTACTTACTGTCTTACTTAAAGCTGAACTAGCCACTTTTTTCACAAGTATAATTTCTATTTGAAAGAACAATGGACAGGAGCTAGAGAGATGGATTGATCAGTGGGTAAAGCACTTGCTGTATAGCTGTGAGGACCTGACTACAGATCCCTAGAACCCACATAAAACTAGACTTGGTAGTGCATATTTCTAATCTCAGTGTTGCTACGCAAGATGAGAGGCTGCAACAGGAGAATCCCCCACTGCCAGAAGCTCTCGGGCCAACTGGCCTGGCTTATGCAGTGGGGAAAAACGGGAGAGCCTGTCTCACACAAGATGGAAGACAAAGACCAACAGCTAAGGTTGTCCTCTGACCTCCACACATGCATTGTACATGTCTGCACTCTATCTCTCTCACACACATACAGATGGGAAACAGAAATTAGAAAGAGCAAGGGACAAATGATGGCTTTTCAGCATTGGGTATTTTACAGATATTTTCTCAGAAAAAATGGAAAAAGTAAACCTGACACCCCAAGGAAAACTGAAAGTACCTGCTACAGGTGATAAGATGCAAACTCTCCAACTATCATCTAGTCCTTCTCTGAATGAGGGACTCCCAGTTTCCTCAGGTATCTTTTGGCCTCTTCCCTATCTCGTCTCTTCCCCTCTTTCACCTTCTTCTGAAATTCTTCTCACATATATCTATGTGAAGACAGATTTTCTTCATCTACCAGAACAATGCCTTGCATAGAATTAGGAGCAGAAGCAGATCCAAACCCCCAGCTGTCTTCTCTTAAGCCTCATATTAAAGGTATCTGGGAAAGTGTGAAATTATACCTGTCAGAAATTTTACTTTGTTTTGGAAAATATGCTTAGATTTCATAAACGTGATCTATACTAATATATTATGAATTTAAGTGAATTAGTAAATATATTAGAATTTTGCTCTTTTAATTTTGACATGATACATATGTCATATCAGATATAAGCCACATTAACAAAGGTGCTCTGGCATCCCCAATTATTTTGAAGAGGAGAAGTCTTGATATCCAAATGCTTTTAGCATCTCTAGTTTAGTATGATTCTAGGGGTGCAAACTCAGAAATCCTGTGTAGATATAATAACTGGACCTCTTTTACTTCAGTAAGGAAATTATTAATTTAGAAAGAGCCTAGAGAATTCAAGTTAAACTTTCCGACAGGGTGGAGGAATGCTACTGCCCCTCTCAGTCAACAGGAGAGACATGTGAGGAAGGCCTGATACATTCATTGTTCAGGGAATCTCTTCTGGATGCTTTCCTGTCAAATCACTGTGGAGCTCACAGTTCTGTCTGCCAGCATCTTTCAAGGATTCTATAACCCCACTGGCCTCACATCATTTTAGCTGGCTACCACTGAAGTCTCTTCTGTGATCAGCCTTTCCCCTTCTGGAGTGCATGCTACGGCCTTATATGGAGTGTATCTACAAGGCTCTCTGAGAAATTCAGATATGTTGTCTCTTGTGTCTCCTTGGCTCTCTTCAGCTCTTAACAGAGTGCTAGGCATCAATGAATACTCTCCACAAGTCTACTAAGTGACAGATGAGGGTGAAGACTTAGAACAAAAATGCCTCATTGTTATTTACACAGTGATTCCCAGCATTTCTTTTCTCTGAATGACACTTTTCTTACAGTATACACAGAGCTGGGCTTCGGAAGGCTCCACCTGCTCATCCAGCTTTACAACTTCATGCCTTGATCATTTTGGGGGAAATTACTTAGCTCCTCTAAGCCTAGGCTTTACACATGGGATATAACTAGATTTTTTAACATAGGAGCATTCAACAGATATTGGAGTTTGCCTCTTCTATAGGATGCTTAAAGATAATTTTCAAGGACATGTCAACCACAAAGCAAAACTCACAAGCATTTATTAACCAGTGAAAAGTTGGTGCTGCTTTGTCCAGTTCCCTTTCCCCTTCACTCAGTGGATGTAGAATCAGAAATTTTTTATCAATTGAAATATGGGCCGTAAAATTATCACTAAATCATAACAATCTGTCATGTATCTAATTTAGCTACTAAAATATTATGAATATAGTTATTTTCTTCACTAAAAATTATATTTATTTTCATACCTTGGTGTTTTTTGGAGACAAAGCCTTGCTATTTAGCCCAGGGTAGCCTCAAGTTTGTGATCCTCTGTCTCAGCCTCCCAAATGCTAGGATTACAGGTATGTGCCATCACACCTGGTTCTCCTTGTGTCTTGAGAATGAGCTGTTCATCTCCTTTCTTATGTGGCCTCTTGTGCCTCCTGGCCTTGTTTTCTTTTCACTTCTCTCCGCACAAGTCCTGCTACCTTCAGGGGAGGTGGTTTTTCTGGCAGAGTTTCATGGCCTGAGCAGGTCAGAACATCTGAATTACCTGAGATTTTCCTGTAGTCCATAACGTTCTTTGATGCTCCCTGTAAGCTCTTAACTGAAGTCAAATCTCCAAGAATTAATTGAAAGGATTCATGACAGGAATGATGGGTATAATATGAAACTGTTGCAAAAATAATTTTTCTTCAGGTAAAAATTCAGTTTTAACTGGGGAGACCCAAGCCTAACTAATGATGACGAAGAAGAGGATGTGGTATGGGAGAGCAAGGACAGTTCACATTAGAATGGCTCTGATCTTTAGAAATAGATTTTAATTTCTCCATCTAGGGATTCTGATTTAGGAATTTAAAATAGAGTTCTCAGGATTCTTTTTGTATCTTTCTCTGTTTTGTTTTGTTTGAAACAGGATCTCACTATATAACCTAGTCAGGCCTCAAACTCATGTCATCCCCCTATCTCAGTTTCCCAAGTGCTGGAATTACAGATGTCTGGCAAGTTGTCAGTATTCTGCACACCTCTAGAGAACCAAAGGCTACATGACCTTGATACTCCCATGCTCTTTTGAAGAATACTTCTAGCAAACAGTTTCTGTTTCATGGAGTCCCCTCACAGTTATTTTCTTACTGTATCAAGCTTTTGTGAAATAGACAGACTGCTGCCTTGAACTTGCTTCCCCATGATGTTGGCCAAAGCAGAGCCTAGATTAGGTGGAGGTCATGGCCAAGGTCGACTTGTCTAGAAGCCAGGTTACTGTCTAAACAAGGAAGCCTTGAAGTTGGAATTAGCCTCTGACTCTTGAAATGAGGACTGTGTGAGCAACCACCCAATGACTGAAGGCTTATGAGCCTGTGTAGGCTTGGGAAGGTAAAGGATTCCCTCCAGTGAAGGAGAGAAAGGACAGTTACAGTGTCAGAACTGCCTGAGTCTAACACTCACCCCTCCTGAGTTAGATAACTGTACATATTTTATAGAGAATAGTTAATAAAGGTCTAAGCATTTCTTCTAAGAAGAAGACTCACAGCTCTTGCCCTCTGAAAATCATTATGACTTCTGAACTGGAGAAGGCAAAGTACAAGATCAGCAACATCACAAGGAGGACAAACGGGGTAAATTAGAGTGCACTTAATGCAAGTTGTATCAAGATTTTATTAGGACTGCAGAGCTTGGGGAAGGATCCCAGCAGGAAATGAGTCAATAAGGCATGCCAGGTACCAGGCTCCATGTGGCTCCAGTCAGTAAAGGGAAGAGCTACAGGAGTGCCATCCCTCTTGGAACAGAGAATGCAGGCTCAGGTTGTTCCAGAGTTTTGTTCCTTCCCTGCTGGGCCAAAGCGGGGCACCTGGCTTGATTCATGTTAGTCAGGAAGACACATGGGCATAGGTTTCCAGCTAGTGGAGCTCATGGCTGTGATTTCGATCTTTTTGTCCCATTACATTAAGGAGGAAATGACACTGGCCTTCATGCATTCAACCCCATTGTGGAGCTGTTTTTATTGTCTCCTGGCAAGAAATGGACCTTCTTAGCATGTCCTTAAACAAGAGCTACCTTGAGGTAGAATGCGTCAGTTATTTCCATACCATGCCTCACACAGAAAAATAATGTTCTTTGCAACATTTTCTCTGTTTTCAGCATTTTCATTTTGGAGGTGGATTGTGGAAAGCTGTAAGGGGAAAGGTCTATGCTCCCCAAGAGTTCGGCACTTGGGGTAGCTGATGTTCAAGGGGCAGTCAAGGGCCTACAGCGCTTTTCTAGGGACACCGTACAGTTGGCCATTTTTCAAATGCTACGATGTGGCAAAAGTTGGTGCTCAAGTCTCCACTTACCTATCCATCTTCTTCCTAGCTGTACCCAGAGCGATGCCGCTGTTTATCAAGTCTCAGCGAGAAGCTGTGAGGGGATGATTTGCTGCTCAGCTTCCATTGAGGTCGAGTGTCTGCCAGAAAACCCACAGGTCTCTTCTGACCCCAGAGATGGTAGGGGCATGTCTGGAAAACATGAAACAAAGATGTGTGAGGAAGAAAGCGCAAATCAAACTGAGGAGAAAGGTCGCCCTTATAAGGAAGAAGAAAATATGGCCCCTAGGCCACCCAGGTCAGCTGATTCCTCCCCCAACAAATTCAACCTCTCATGTTCACCCCAGGTATTGGCAAATCATGGCACCAGTGTTTCCAATTCTGAAAATCCCCTGGATGTTAAAGCAACAAGGCAAAGGGCAGAGGCTTGTGATTCAAATAATACACAAGAAAAATCCTTTAATTCAGGCAACACTACAGAAAAACAAGATGCATGGCACCACAGGACAATGCATACAACTGGCCTGGGGTTAACCGGCAGTGGTGACCTAGGTAATGATGGTTCTGATGACAAGGGCTTTACCGGTAGTCATCAAAATCCCAAAGCACAGAAATACATCAGCTTCAGTCTTCCGCTGTCTGCGGCAACTGTGTGCGCTTACCCAAGTGACTGCGATTCCGTCAACACACAGCCTGGCCCTCAGGTTTTCAGTGAAGACTCTGACAGTGACTATGAACTTTGCCCAGAGATAACCTTAACCTACACGGAGGAGTTTTCAGATGATGATCTGGAGTATCTGGAATGTTCCGATGTTATGACGGATTACTCTAATGCGGTTTGGCAAAGGAGCCTGCAGGGGACTGACCAAGTTTTTTTATTAGAAAGCGATGACGAAGAGGTGGAATTCAATGAGTGTGGCCTCGGTGGGTGTGAGCATTTCCTCAGTGAAATGGGTTGTGGGCCTCGGGTGTCAGGTGACATAGGGCCTGTGGATACCACCACTGGCTTCTCTGGTTATCACTCACAACTCCAAGAAGTGGGGGTCAGGAGAAGCAGTGCCTCCAGGCACATTTCCTCACCCCTGCATGCAAGGATGACTCTTACTCTGGGACCTCACCAGGATGGAACAGCTACGGTGACTGAACAGGGGAGATGTCCATTCCCCACTGTTTCTGAGGCTCCTGAAAATGATTGCTCAGGAATTCAAGTAGAAATTAGAGACTGCTCTGAAGCAGGAGAAGAATTTGCCAGTGACAATCTGCTAACCATGGATAAGGCAGTGACAGAGGCAGAGGTGAAACCCTTGTCTGAGGGGTTAGACAAGTTAGAGGTGATGCAGGGTTCAGAGAGCGTGACTGGGGAAAGATCAGAGGAAAAGCGCCCAGGCAGCAGGAGGGGTACAGCGAGACCCAACAGAGCAAAGCGGCCCAGAATGAAGGAAGATGTCAAGAAACAGCTGCTTAAAGAGAGAGCCCCAGAAGGCACCCTTGACCCCCTTCCCAAGGAACCGGCTAAGCACCCGTTAACCAGGAGCCATCCAAGAGAGACTCCACACATCAAGGCAGGAGCCTGGACTTCTCACTTGCAGGCAGAACAAAATATTCCACTCCCAGCAGAGCAAGACTCCAAAACCCTTCCACCCCAAGAAGATTTGCTTTCCAAGGAAGGAGACACAAGCTTCGAGGGAGAAGGGATGCTGGTTAATAACTTATTTGAAACAAGTCAGGTTCCAGACCAGACTGACCATCTTCAGGTAAGATCTGTTTTTAAAAATTGCAAAAGGAAAGGTGGTGTGCGTGTGTGTGTGTGTGTGTGTGTGTGTGTGTGTGTTTTCTACACGGTCATAATCTTGTACCATAATGTAAATCAGAGTAAGTCTCCAAGCACCCTCAGAGTACTTGTGAATGACAGCTGCTGCTGCTCCTGCTAGGAAGGAAATCTGGTTTTGAAAAAAGGCCCAGATAAACCCTAAGCCATCCTAATTATAGCAAAAGAGCGGTAGAAGTGAGAGGCACTAATGGGATTCTGGACAGCTGGAAAAAGAAACCTGATATTTTGTCTACTGCATGTGTTTTACTAGGCAATGTTCACTATTCCAAAGTTTCTCAGGCAAATGTTTTGGGTGTAATCTTTAAAGGGTAGGGGAACCCATTCTTTTTGACTGTTTTGAGGGTGCATTTTGAAAATAGTAGACTTTAATGGGAACTCATAGTTCAAGTGGAAAGATTTCATTATGTCTGAAAGACTTCCAGGGTTTACTTTGTGGTGCTGCAGAGAGCAAAGTTGATTGTGCTATGGGATGCTTTTAATTAGGTGTTTGCTTTATTTTGCTTTTCTTAGACCACAGGTATAAAAGAGGCCAAGAAAAAGCTATATCTTCCCCTAATACTGATTTGGGTACGGTTTTAATGCCAATTTTAAGGAGACAGAATTACATTAATAGAAATAACTAATGCACAAAGGATATTATGTTTGATATACCACTTGTATTTTTAACCACAAATCTTTATAAAGGATTCCAAATGGAGTTTGGATTGATGGTGTACTAGGGTCAAGATTTGACTTTTGGAAATTTTTTAAAACAAATGCATTAAACAGTTTTTTTTTTTTTTTTTTTTTTTTCTTGTTATTTCTCCTCCTAAAGTTTTGTAGAGAACGTGATATTCCCAACTACTAGGGAATCTATACCAAGAATCTTATTTTTATAAAAGACCAGATAGACCAAAGAAAATAAAATATTCCCTAATGCAAAATTATTGAACTCTCTGTGAGGAAATAATAAAAAAACAAGAATCTGAATTTCTAAAGATCCTGTTATAAAATATCCAATCTACAAATCTCCAGATCTGAGGTAGCTCTTGATCGAGCCATTTGTGCTGTTTTTCTGGAAAAAAAACAGCCAGACAAAGTGCCTCCTTTCTCCAGGCAAACCAGCCTGGTGTATTGAGTTCTTTAAATGGTTTACTTATCAGTTCACATATCGGATCACAAGTCTGTGCCTAAGGCAAACAAATAAAGAAAGTTTGGCTAATGTTAATATAAAGTGTCCATGTTAATTTTTCATGTCATTAAATATGGCATTTCCTCTTCTATTCATAAAATGTTCCACCCTTGTCAGCCAACCGCCTTTTTACAATTGTTTTTACAGTTAGAGCTGTTTTGTTAGTTATTAGGGGATAAGGGCAAGATAACATGGCCCAAAGGGAGTCAGTAGAAAGGCAGGAGACAGTTGACAATGTTAGCTTTAGAGTCACCATTATGGGAGGCAAATTCCACCTCCTTCAACTACTGAAAGGAAGGAAGGGGCCTTGATATGTTCAGGCTTGCACCTGAGATGAGATTCAGAGACGAGAGACTTGTGGCCAACAGATTCACCTGTTGGCTGGCAATGCAGCTAAATAAAACCAATAGTCTCAGGGACCAAGCGTGTCTGTCATGGGCAGTCTGTCAGGGTTCGTAGGGGACTCCTTACCTTCCACACACACTACATTGAGGAGTCCATACCCACCCCACCTTGATCACTGTTCTGTAATTGAGGTAATTAAATGAGGACTGTGAACTTCCTTGTTCAGAAACAATTTGCATTCTCTACAGGTAGTAGGGCTGTGTCTTATTTTGCAGTGGTCAATAGCAGAGCTGACCTCTCACTCAAGGGACAGCTACATACTTGAATGGGAACTGGACATTTGAGAACAGTTCTGTACAGGCTTAAGTTAAAATGGAATCTTTGTACCTGAGACATTTGTTTTCCTTAGACAAAAGTAGAAAGATTTTGACTCTAGCATATGAAAAAATTCAGATTCTTTTAGCCATGCAAGAAGTTCCTATTTAATTATAGGATACACACATGTATTTCTTATACATTATAAAACATGGCCAATGGATAGCAAATGGCTGTTATTGCAAATTTGACACAGAAATGTGGAAGTCATTGGCAATTACATGAAATTTTTTAATAATGTAGCTCAGAAAAAAATTATTGTCTTTTTTTCCATATCTAAATCCAAAGACATTTTAAATATTTAGTCTCTGACACTTGAGGCTTTGGGTGCTTAAAGATTTTTAAATGATTAAAAATCCTGGGTTAGGAGTAATACTAATAAATTTGCCCATACTTGAGTCTTGCCTGATTCACTTACCTTGAGCTGTCTCTTTGTACGAAGTGACTGGCAGCCTATTGTTCAGTATTTTATCTTCATCTGTATATTGCTTTTAGCATTCTAAGAAAAATTCCATACCTCTAATTTTCCATGCTATTATGCAAGGGTATCTTGCAGAATATCTCTAATACATATGTCTTCAGGTGTCCTAACTTCCTGTCTTCCCTGCTCTCTTTCACAATGCAAGGCCATCTTGTTAGGAGTTGTCTTGAAATAGTTCCTTACCCAAGCTAGGATTGGAGATCCCCCAGTTTCTCTACATTTATGGAAGTTTCCAAAGTTCCTTCCCGTTTGGGAGTGGAAAACAGAGAGGGTACCCCAGGCTAACTTGAATCCTTGTCAAGGGGTCACACCGCCAACTCTTCATCTTGGTTTTGAGCTCAAGCTCTTAATCCAACTCAGGCAAGACCTGACAATCTGCCCATCTTAAGTTTCTTTCCCCAGCCACCCTGGGGTAAGATCATCTTCACTTTAAAATCAGAAGTGCTGTGTCTGTACTCCTGCATAGCTGCATTTCTTTTTGGGGTCATGAGACTACGAGTGTACAGTATGGGGTTGTATTCTAAAGTCCTGGGAGTGAAGAATCTTCCAGACCAGGAATTAACACTAATCATAGAAACTGACCAACTTGGTGGAGTGGAATTTGTTTGGCTTATGCTGTTACTGATAAGTCCCAAGTGCTAGAATAGTGGCTGTCACCTGATAGTCACTCAATCATTGAGTGAATAAGTAGCCATACAATAGGAAATGAGCTGCTTGGTTACGCAGGACTCTGATGATCATTGATCATTTAACAGCCTCTGTTTCCTGAGCTAATTATTTCATTATCTTCACATAAAAGATGCTTCTGCCAACTATCCACTAATAGGATGCACTTCCATTCACTCTTCTAGCCCTGGAAATGGGTTGGTTTATTCTAAAGCCTAGCTATGTAAACTATAGTTTATGACTCCCTACTGAATGTGGCGGTCAGGACAAATTTGGAAATAGTAAAAGGTTTCTGAACATGCAATGACCAAAAATCAACTCAAAATCAAATACATAATGAACTGAGGTGTTTCTGGCTGTACTTACCCATGTTGCATTTTGGGATTTCGCTGCATTGGTTCCAAACACACATGTGCAATTTACACTGTGCATGCCATCACACCATGTACCACCAGCAAATGCTGCCCCAATCACCTCAGCTCAGATTTGAGGCTATTATAAGTCAATTTCAATGTTTTTACTATGCATATAAAGTTTTATGCTCTTACAGAAGCATAATAGAATAATTTTGGAAAACAAAGACAATATTTTCCTTCTCTAATTCTACAGTGTCTAAGTATCAAATTAATATATCTTTGAATTGTATTATGTTACAATGTTTGATTTCAATTGCAGCTTGAGTTACTGACATGAGTTACATAAAAATCATTGAGGGGGCCTATGCACCAGCCCAGCCAGGTAAGTGTAGCTGTTATCCCCAGCAAAGAAGCTTCTTTTTACAGTAGATGCAGGTTTTTATAGAGATCTACAATTTGCCAAAATGCGGAGAATAAGTGACTATAGGGTGCCCAGCTCCAACTGGTACATCTACAGTGTAACCCCTACACCTAAGACTCAAGAACATTGTGGAAGAAGGAGCAGAAAGACTGTATGAGCCAGAAGACCAAGATGCCTGCTGCTAGATAGTGTCTTCTAGATATGTCAGGGATATTGCACTCATGAAATCTCAACACTATGGTTGCCTAAACAAGACCTACATAATGCCGACACTAGTCAACATGCCAAAGTGGATGTGGGAAATCTTACAAGGTCCCACTTCTAGATGAAGAGCTACAGGCAATTAGTGGCTGTTTAGAGAGGGAGAGTCCCTGAATAGGTTATCCAATCCTAAATGGTCAGCCCTAAACATACACACATATGAACAACAGTAAATGGACTCAGTGGGTTGAGTGTGTGTGTGTGTGTGTGTGTGTGTGTGTGTGTGTGTGTGTGTG